CTTATATGAATATAATTCCATTCTCTTTCCTCCAAAAAGATGTACTTAATGTGTTGTGAATCATAGTCTGAGCCAATTATAACAACCAAACAAATAGAGAATGAGAAACTCACGCAAATAATTGGCAAATCTACATTGTGCAAGCTAGGAAGCTAAATGATTTTCCTTAGAAAAAGATTCCAGAGAAATATGGAACCTTCTTCTTATAACATCATACACCAACCTTTTCTTGAATAGCAGCTCACTACATTTTTCAACTGGTTATTAGGGATTGCCATGGAATATTTCATTCCTCATAGGTTAATGAAGCTAAAAATATCATCACCTAATTTTTTACAAATCATAAGCCAAAGGAGCAGAGTATTATAATCTTTAAGAGCTTCCATGGTTGCACTAGTCTTTTGGATGGCTACTAATTGACACTCTGAAAGTTCATGTAGTCATGTAGACTAAGGTTCTTTCCAATTGCAAATAAAATCTCTAAAGTTGACTTACTAAAATCTCGTTCTACTTGAATACGCTTAGCATGCTTCATGCTTCATTAGTGCTCTCTTTTTAGGTGGTTTTACTTTAATCTTCTTTCCCTCCACATGAAAGTCACTCTTGGTTTGACTTTGCATATTGCTTAGCCTAAAACAAAAAACAAAGTTAATAATAAAATTAGCACTCCCTTTTTTTGGTACTAAACCCCTAGTATTTGGAAGCCATAGTGGGTCCTCATTAATCTGAAATCAAGTCAAGTTCCTCATTAATCTGAAATCAAGTCATGTTAGGTCGAACCCCATAAGCAAAAGCTCTACTAATGCATGTCTCTTTATTTACAAAACTGGAACTCAAATCTTGCTAAAACCTTAAGGGAAACCTAGCTCAATTTTTCTATTTGGACAAATAGGTTCATTTGTAAATTAAAACTCTCTTGTATAAAGAAAGGACGATGATTGGGGTACATTTGGTTCCTCACTCCAGTTGACACACTACTTTAAAAAATATTATTTCATGGGTTATAGTTAAGTGAAAAAACAGCTTAAATTTGTTGTCATTCTCTCTCCAACTATCTATTTTTGTTTCCAAATAGACTAATAAAACTTGAAAGTCCCAAAACCTCAAATTAAAAATATTAACTTCTTTATCTTCCTCCATTTCTCTAATTACTTCCTTGTTTTCGGGCCTTTTCGATTCAAAGGTGAGATGCTTGTTTGCAAATAAACTAATTGCTTCTACATAGGTCACCATTGAAGATCAACATGGTTCACTGTTGGATGGATTCTCTCTTAGGTTCAATCCACCCTAAATCTAAAAAAATCTTTGTGGATTTCCATTGGAGATTGTATGCCCAAAATCTTGAAACCTTGAGTCTCAAAACTAGAAAACCCACAAAACCTAAAAGGCCTTGACCTTAGCTTTTAACATGGGAGATGACGGAATGAAGGCGAAAACAAAGTCGTTGGCAAATCTTGGTGTAGTTGTTTTGGAGAAAATGGAGGTTAGCATTGTTTCAATCTTGGGTTCTAGGCAATAACCACCTACAAGGAATTTTGAAAGAGCAAATGGATGCCAAACAATAGCCTTGGATAAGTAAGTGTTTAATGCTTGACAAATCCTATTAAGGTTTTTTTTATTCATTGAACCAATTGTGTAAATGAGTATGTTGATTTGGAGTGTAATCCTATCAGTTCCCATAAAGAAATTAAAAGGTGTACTAATTATATTTAAATGTCCCAAATTAGAAATTATGTGCATTAAAGTTGAACAAATGGGTATATAATTAACCTTTAAAAAGTTGAATATTTGAGGTTGACATTAATTATTGATAATATGAAAAAAAAAAAAGAAAAAAAGCTATCATATTTACCTCAAGTCTAGCATGATCTAGATGGATGAACACAACAAGATTGACAAATCAAAGGTTTAATTGATATAAATAAGGGGAAAAGCTCTAAAATCAACACAATCCCAGGCCAAAGGGATACTATTTTTTTTTTTCTCTCAAACATGTACAGTTTGAGATAAAGGATGGAGAACTATAACATGACAATGCCATAATTTGAATTTTGATTATTGCTAGGACATTGAGTGTACCTACCAACTAGCTAATGAAGACTAATGTAGAGGATACTACTCCTTGAGGAGAAACTCTAGAGCCAATTGCAATAGAAGTCAAGAATTGTTCCTTTTTTCTTTTTTCTTTTTTCTTTTTTGGATAAAGGAATTCGAGATTTGTTGTAAAATAGGATTGACATGTTGAAAGGATAACCCAAAATTGTCTAATTTATTATCAAACTCATTGTTAAGCCTCTCAACATATTTCAATTTAGTGGATAAGGCCCTAAACTAAGGGAAAAAAAAAAAAGAAGAAGTAAAGCACTCCATCTTCATGGCCATAGAAAATCAATCCTTCATTTATTTTGCAACATCCTTAGAGAAGTGAGAGTCACTTGCATGGTTTTTAACTAAATTTTTTTATTTATTTAGAGTTGTTCCATTCCCTTATCCTCTCTCTCTTTATTTAGACAAATAAATAAATTTTAAAAAATATATAAAAAAAAAAACTCCCCTCCTTTCTCATCCTTTCCATTTCTCTCAATCCAAGCATACTATAAGATTATTCCTTCGGCCTTTTTTGGTTCTTTGTCTAAGTGCTAATGTCGAATGTTAACTTTCAAAAAATTTCATCCTTCTTCGTTTGAAAATTATGTGAAAATTCCAAGTATATTAAAAATTGTGTTATTTTAAATAAGTTGAAAATTTAAAAGAATTAATTTAATTATTTAAATTTCACATCCAAATTATGTCCCTTTTTTCTTTTCTTTCTTTCTTTTTTTTTTTTTTTGAAATCTAACCGGCAACTCCATTCATTCATGAACATAAATGGAAGGTACAATGATTGTTATATATATTAGATGTTAAGTATTACTAGTAGCTATAGGGAAAACAATTGAGTCTCAATTTTTTTTTTTAAACAACAATTTATTAAATGGAGTACAAGGGGTACTTTTGCCCATGTATAAGTATAAAAATATCAATACAATATAGTTATGCATAAGAAAGATTTAGTTTGTATACAAGATAGAGCAGTTACATTACTATTGCAATTGTTGAATAAGTCTTTAGTTATCTATTTTATTGTCCCATTTTTTAGTTATTTGTTGGGTACTTGTCTTTGTGTTTCCTAGTTAATAGTAGTTTGTGTCTTTTTTGTAGTTTAGTGGCTGAATGGTTTCTATTTTGTTGCTTAATTTAGTTGTAGTTTTGCTTATTTTTAATGTCATTTTTAATTGTTGAATATGAAGTACAGAAGTATTTTCCTCTTTCAATTGACTTGTATCTTCTACTATCTTTTAATTTATTTCACTTGCTCAATTTGATTATGCCTAGTAGGTGTTTGATTTAATTCCTCAAAGAGTGTTTAGTTTGGAGCTTTGTTCAGCTTTGTTTTCCACATTTGGTATTAGAGCTTGGTATATTGAAGGGACCAAATGTAACAATAGCAACAGCCAAATGACATCTGACACTTTTGTGTAGCCAACAATTCTTCACTTTGATGGTCACTATGATCATTGGAGCATTTTGATGAAGAGTTTCTTAAGGTCCAGGGAGTATTGGAATATGGTTGAATTTAGCATAGTAGAACTAATCATTGGGTGTCAAAAACTTAAAGGGTAGAGTTAGAGGCTTTGAAATTGAAGGATCTCGAAGCTAAAAATTATCTTTTCTAAGTGATTAATCGAACAATCTTGGAAGGTATTCTCTACAAGAACACTACTAAGCAAATTTGGGACTCCATGAAAAAGAAGTATCAGGGATCAACAAGGACAAAGAGGCAGCAACTACAAGCACTCCATTTGCAGTTTAAAACACTTCAAAGATAATCTGAAGTTCAAAGACAATTCTAAAGTCTTGATCATGGGAAAAGGATAGGTGACCATTCAAATCAAGGATAATGTTACTCAAACAATTTCTAAATATCTTTTATGTTTCATAATTAAAGACCAATCTGCCAAGCATTAATCCATTGCAAGAGAAGAGTTATGACATTATCATAAAAAATGGAGTGTGCTAAATTCAAGATTCTAAATTGGGCTTTAGTTGCTTAAGTTACAATGAAATCTAACAAAATGTTCATTTTCATCTCAACTATGCTAGTCAATCTTGTTTCTTAGCAAAGATAAATGATGGGGCTTGGCAATGGCATTGTCATTATGGTCATCTAAACTTTGGTGGTCTAACGAAAGAACATGGTGGCTAGTCTACCTATTTTTGAAAGTCCCTCAAATGTTTGTGAAGAATGTGTTGTTGACAAGCAACACTGTGATCTAGTTCCAAAGAAGAGATCAACTAGAGCAAGAAGGCTATTGGAGATTGTACAATTTGATATTTGTGGACAAATTAATCTAGTTTCCAATAGAGGTAAACATTATTTCATTATCTCCATTGATGCTTTTTAGTAGAAAAACATGAGTGTACTTCCTACAATAAAAGTCCAGAACTTTCATATCTTGCAAAAGCTTTAAAGCAATTTTTGAGAGAGAAGTAAGGAGTCTAATTCAAGTGTTGCATACTTATTATGAAGGAGAATACAATTAACATGAATTGGCAAATTTTTATGAGACTCATGGAATCAAGAGGCAACGAATAGCAACCTATAGGCCTCAACAAAATATTTGTTAAAGGAGGAACTACATTATTTTAAATTTGGTGAGAAGCCTTTTAAAGAAAAGTAGCATTCCAAATAATTTTTTGCCTAAGGCATCAACTGAAGCGTTCATATTCTGAATAGAAGTCTAACTTTTTCTATTCAAAATATAACACCTAAGGAAGCATGGAGTGCAAAGAAACCAAGAATGGAGCATTTTAAAATTTTTCATTGTATTGCTTATTCTCACATTCTAGATTTGAAGAGGAAGAAGTTAGATCACAAAAGAGAAAAATCTATATTTCGTAGTGTTAGCAATCATTCCAAAGCATACGAGCTATACAATCCAAACACCAAGAAAATCATCATCAGTCAAGATGGGATTTTTTATGAAGGAAAATTCTAGGAATAGGATGAAGGCAAAGCTGAACCCAAGATACCAGTTGATTTTAATTGTGAAATTGAAGATAAAAAAACAATAGCAACCCATGAAGAATAAGCAACAAACGCCAAGGAGTCAAAGCATCATTCTAGTAGCTCCAGCAATTGTAGCCGATCTTAATCTAGAAGCTAAATTAGATGATGGACAACAATCTCAACGTGTCAGAAAAAGACCTACGTGGATGATTAATTATAAGGTACTTAGAATTGAACAATCTGGTGTTGAAGAACTAACATACTTTGCTCTATTTTCATATTGTGATCCTATAGCTTGTAAAGATGTTGTTCTAGAATCCAAATGGAGGAAGGCCATGGATGAAGAAATTGTAGCCATTGAAAAAAATAATACTTGGGAACTAACTGAGCTTCTGAAAGGCAAGAAAACTATTGATGTGAAATGGGTGTATAAGACAAAGTTGAAAGAGAATGGAGAAGTTGACAATTACAAGGCACACTTAGTTGCTAAAGGCTACAAACAGGAGTTTGGGGTTGATTATCAGGAAGTTGCTACTTCGGTTGCAAGGCATGATACAATTAGATTGGTGATCTCCTCAGTAGCACAAAACTCATGGCCTGCCTTTCAACTTGATGTAAAATCAACCTTTTTGCATGGAGACTTAGATGAGCAAGATTTATTAAACAACCTCTTGGTTATGTTAAAGTTGGAAATGAACGTAAAGAGTATAAGTTGAAAAGGGCACTTTATGGACTAAAACAAGCTTCATAGGCTTGGTATAGCTGTATTGAAGCATATTTTTTGAAGGAGTGATTTCAAAAATGCCCTTATGAACATACACTCTTCGCAAAATAAAAGGTGGGGAAATGCTCATTGTTTGCTTATATGTGCATTGATGACTTGATCTACACTAGAAATGATAAGACTATGTTTGATAAGTTTAAGAAGTCTACAATGGCTGAATTTGACATGTCTAATCTTGGTTTGATGCATTATTATCTTGGCATAAAAGTTGATAAATTTGCTGTTAGTATCTTTATTTCTCAAAAAAAAAGTATGTTCAAGACATTTTGAATGGGTTTAGAATGAAAGATTGCAATCTTATCATCACACCAATTGATGCACAAATGAAGCTTGTTAGAAATCTTGAAGGGAAGAAAGTCAATAGCACTTTTTACAAGCAAATAACGGGAAGCTTGATGTATTTAATTGCTACAAGGCTAAATATCATGCATGCTATGAGCCTTATCAATAGATACATGGAAAGTCCAAAGGAAATGCATTTCCTAGCAACAAAAAGAGTTCTTAGATACTTGAAGACATATTTGGCTTCATAGATAATGATTTTCAAGAGATCTTGATCATAGAAAGAGCACATCTAATTATGTTTTTATCATGGGAACAACAACTATTTCATGGCTTCAAGAAAGCAATCAATTGTGACTTTGTCAACAGCTGAAGCTGAATTTGTAGTAGCAACATCATATGTTTGCCAAGCAATATGGTTACAAAGAATTTTTTAAGAATGCCATTTCAAACAAGAATGACCACTTATTATTTTCTATGACAACAACTCAACAATTAAGTTGTCCAATAATCCTATTCTCCATGGCAGATGCAAGTATATAGATGTGAGGAATTATTTCTTGAGGGACTTTGTGAAAGAAGGGGTCATTGAGCTTGTCTATTGCAAAAGCGAAAACCAAATTGCTAATATTTTTACCAAACCTTTCAAGTTGTTAGCATTTTACAAACTAAGGAAGCTACTTAGTGTTTGTGTGTTATAGAATTTATTAAATTGAACATTGGTACAAAGTTTAGTCTAAAGGAGGATTTGTTGAATAAGTCTTTAGTTATATCTCTTTACTGTTCTATTCTTTAGCTATTTGTTGGGTATGTCTTTGTGTTTCCTAGTTATTTGCAGGACATGTCTTATTTGTAGTTTAGTAGTTGAGTGGTTGCCATCCTATTACTTAATTTAGTTATAGTTTCGCCTATTTGTAAGGTCATTTTTTATCTGTTGAATAAGATGTACAGAAGCATTTTTGTTTTGTAATTGACTGGTGTTTTCTATTATCTTTTAATTTCTTTCACTTACTCAATTTGATTATACCCAGCATGTGTTTGATTTAATTCCTCAAAGTGTTTAGTTTGGAGTTTTATTCAACTTTGTTTTTCCCAGAACTGTATGCTTAGTATTGTTTCACCCTCTTGCAATGTGCAAGCATCATGCTCAGCACAGGTTCTTGAAGCCAATCTGAGAAGGAGAATGCCTACAATCCCCTGACTAACAAAGCCATTGGTAAGATCGTGATTGAACCAAGTCAAACAACTTGCCTTCATTAAGAGCTCTTTGTTTAAACAATGATTCATTTGTTGCCAACCATAATGTCCATGTTAAAGAAAACCAGATTAACTCCCATCTATACCTAGCTCTTGTAGAAGCAATTAATCCACCATGGTTAGTAAAGGCATCCTAGCAGCAACATCATTGAACATTCTCCAACCCCTACCATTGTAGGCATTTAGACCACAATCTATGGGCCACTTTACAATGGAAGAAAAGATGGTTGGAGTCCTTTATCCCATCATAACATAGGGTACAGATTTTATCGCTAGAGTCCTTAACAACTCCTCTTTTAAATAGATTCCACTTTGATGGTATTTTATCAAGAATTATTTTCCATGTGAAAGTGTAAACCTTGGTTGGGATGTTACTATTCTAAACTCTTGTAAAGATATCTGAGTATTTAGAAGCATTAGAATCAGTGAGTAGGTAATAGTCAATACTTGATATGTAACTACCATCCTTGTTATGTTGCCATTCCCAAACGTCTTTCTTATTTTGGATTGGAGTTGCTTGGTTTAGGTATGACATCAAGGCATCCACTTACTCCTTTTCTCTATCTAGTAGGGACCTATGCCATTATAATTCCCATCTCCATTCATTGTTGTCCGCACATCCATTTGTTTGACTAAGAGATGTTTCCCTATTGACAACAAAAACAACTTCAAAAATTCATCAACTAAAACCTTTTTCCCCACAATTGAGTCCTAGGTAATGTTGTGAGATAAAAACATTGCACCTTGTGCCAACTCATGGGTTGCCTTATTTGTAGCCCTCTAAACACGAAGGAACTAGACTTGGTATAACCCAGATGCAATAGTTTTGATCTCGAGTATTTTGGGGCCAATATCTAAAAAATTGCCTCCTCTACCAATCAAGGCTGAAATCAATTTAAGGCAATTGCTTTCCGTTATCATTGATATTATGTTTTTTTTTTTTTTATTTGGATAAACTGTATGTTATTTATCCAACAAGACTATTCTGTACACTCAAGTAGCAATAGCTACTACAATCAATGTATAACTGTAGCTTTTAAGAATATCCTATTGCTAAGATTACATTGGTAGTTGTATAATGCCTTCTAGCCCCCATTGCACTGCGATAGACATGGGCAATGATGAAGATTTTGGCTTTGCAAAGCCCAAAACCTTATTTCTAACATCAAAATGAATATTATATACAACCTATAAATCATATTGGAAATGTTGCCTATGAACTTTGTTATTTTTCTCCCTCTAGAGATAATAAACTATAGCATTCTAGGCTAGTTTAACAAAGATACAATACAAGGATTTCCTCCTAATATGCTCCCCCATCTAGGCCAATAAACCTTACCAAGGGTAGAATAAGGGAATTCTTATCATAGCACAAATAACTTCCCATATTTGCTTAGTAAAGTGACACTTAAAAAACAGATGAGTGCTTGTTTCCACTCCTGTTTTACATAACAAGCAAGTGTCATCAATACTAAAAGTCCATCTATATTGATAGTATGTTTGGGTTGAGGGGAATGAAAGGGATGAGAGAGGAGGGCAAGATTTTTTGACCAATTAAATTTGATTAGTCAAAAAATATCTTTCTTAATTTCTCTTCATTTCTCTTGACCCAAACATATAGTGAGAGAACCCTTGTCCTTAGCAAAAATAAATCCCCTTTATCATTGCCATGGCCTCAACATGAATTGCAGCTTCATTTTTCGGGCATTACAGTGCTTCCAAAGAATGACCAAATTCATCTCTAATCATACAACTAATGCCACCCCTTTTGTCTTTGTTCGAAAACCCACTGTCAACATTAACTTTGACAAAACCATGTAAAGGAGGCTGCCAAGTACAAACATAAGGCATGGTGGCTGGAGTACACACTTTAAAGCAGCTTCGTCAAAATTACTAATCATAATACCTGCCAATTGCACAACATTCGCACGTGTAAAATGCACGCCGTTGAAAGTAACGTCGCTCCTTTTACAATATAAAGCCCAGAGGAGAACTAGAACCCGCCTTATGACTTCTGCACTAATGGGGAAAAGATCAAGCACCCAATTCTGCATATTAACAGGTAACACATCAAAATTATGTGTTAATATGTAGGTCCCAAGTATATAATATTTTCCCTATTTAATTAGAATCGAAGCCCTTAAAACTTAATGAATTTATAAAATTGTCACAAATTAACTCTATTTTTGGAGTGAAAAAGAAGCAAAAAAGAGAAAGACAGGAAGAGGATAAGGTTGACTCTAGCCTCCTTATTACTCATAGTAATAAGATTTATTTGTGTTTAATTAGATTAGAATGGCGTACAATCTAATACTCCCAAATTAAACAAGAGACTTTTTTTAATATTTGAGAGTTTCAGGGATCCTATGAGTTCAACATGTCCTTTAACAATGAGACTTACGTCTCATTTCGCAGTTCAAGGTACCACTTGTGTCAGGAAAACCAACAAAAAATTACAAGTTCTACATAGTTGTCGACATTTCATGTATAGTTTCAAATTTTAAATGGCCCATAATGAAACAAGAAAAGATATTAATATTAATATTAATTGAAGTTTTTTCTTTTGAAGATATTGATCAGTCTTGGACACGAAGCGATGCAACAGTCTAAAATTTGTTGTCATAAATTTGAAACAACCCAATATCCGAAGATGCTGCAATTTGCTTGGATCAAGAAGAGGTTGTTGAAAACCACTTTGAACATTGTTTTTTTCCAGGGGTTAGAATTTTGGTTTAGAGACTTTCATAGGAGGAGAAAGCCACTTGGAACACCCTTTTTCCAGGGGTTAGGGTTTTGGTTCAGGGTGAAGGATTCAGAGGAGGAGAAAGAATTTCTAGGCTTGGCTCTAATATCATGTAAGAAAGTAAAAGAAGAGAAGAAAGGTGAGTATGTGGTCACACCTTACTTTGTGTGCCAGCCAATCTATTTATATCAACGTCAAGACACAAACAACAACTAAGTGATGCCCTATATTGGGACTTAAACAAACATACAACATTGAGAATTCAAATACGATATGATACCTGGACAAACCAACGCTGAACTCTGTCTCTTGGATTCGAATCCAGCTCACAATTCTCTAACATTCTTAAATCTGTCCCTTGGATTCGAATCCTACTCACAATTCCATATCATTAGTTAAGGGTGACAGGGAACTCGGCTCACATAGAAGAACATATCAATTGAACTTTACAACTATGCAAGATATGTCATCCTTGCTTTTCCTAGAAAGTGCCTCCTCTATCAAGCGCTTTGCTGCTGCTTGAGCATCCTTTACGTGTTTTATTGTGTCCACTGCTTCTTGGTTTGACATTACCTGCCCAGATATTGGAAAAAGATCAGAAACGTCGAAGTCCAATAACATTCCAACATGTATAATGCCAATCAAAGGTTTAAGATAAAGCACCAACTCCAGAAATAAGAACTTTTCTCATTTTCCTTGATTGGAAAACAAGGACAAACTCCTTTATCAAAAAGAGAAGCACAATAGGAAGGTTGACAGGCATGGAAGAGTAACTGACCTTCCATATTCCATCACTCGCCAGAATGAGAAACTCTACATCATCACCAATAATCTCTGTTATGACATCTGGTTCTGAACTAAGATGTAACTTCAAACTCTTATCACCAAATGCTCGAGCTACAGCTAGCTGCCCGTCAACACGGGGAACATCCCCTGCAAGTATCAGACATGTTCATTAATGCCTATGCCCACCTTTATACTTGAGAGCACATTAAAATGTTTTAACTTTAAAAGGCATTTTCAGAAGCCTGAAAGCATCTAACATATTTATCAACTACTAAGTATGGAAAATGTCTAATTATTGATACAAAAAAAAAAAAAAAA